GCGGCCACCTTCCCGGGCGGCTGCGAATCTGTCTCCTTCACTGGCAGACGCAGCCTCGCTGGTTTGGTCTAACGGCGCTGCCGCTGCGACCACGGCCACTCGTGGCCGATGCTGGTTCCCGCTCGGGCCTAACGCAGAAGAACGGAGGTTCTTGGCCTCCTTGTTCGTAACGATGATCTGCGCCACCTTGTCGAATAGTTCCGCCGTCGTCGTCAAGGTGTCCTCGACATGCGTCAGGGCATTGCTCAATGTCGGACATGACCTTGAGATGAAGTAGTGGCGGATGGCCTTGAAGCCCATCTGGATGTCTGGGACTGACGTCAAGCGTCGGTACTCGGCAGCGAGCCTTGCTCGAAGACCATAAGCTTGTCCATGGCTTTGATCTCTGGCGGCTCCACTTGGAACCGCTTGTGCCACGCCGCCTTCAGATCATCCCAACAGATCATGGTGTGCAAGTCCGCTGCTACCACTCCGTACTTGGACAACAAGTTGTCCAACCACGCCTGACACGCGCCCCCTGAGCGAGAGTACAAGTAAGCGTGGTGCTTGTTTTCCTTGACGTTGTGGAGCTGCAGCGTGAGCTCAAACTTGCGAAACCATGGAATCGGATCTGTCTTGATTGAGTCGTGGAAGATCTCCTGCCCATCGAACTTAGGAGCTGTCTCGCGCGGCTCCGGACTCGAGGTTGTGGCGGTAGTGCAGATCCGCTGCTGCAATTGTTGCGTCGTGGTTTGCTGTAATTGTGCGTCGTCCTGGAGGGAGCCGGCGTGCATCTCCAATGCGGTGAGGCGGTCGGCAGTATTGGAAGAGCCTGCGTCGGCGACGGCGACTGGTCGCTGCTCCACCCGCTGAAGGCGGTCTTGGAGGTTAGCTACCGAGTTGTCGAGACCAAGGATCTCCGCCTGCTGTGTAATGCAGGTTGCCAGGAGATCCGTGAGATGCGAGAGGAGGAGCGCTATCTTGTTTGCGCTGTCCTCCAACTGGCTGTTCTCGGCCTCGCTTCGCCATTCTGCTGCCGTGGTAAGTAACGCCCGCTCTCCGGTGAATATCTTCTCACGACGCTGTGTCCTTCTTCATCGGCAGCCCTTGCTGCTGCCTCGTCGTGCTGGCGTTGTTGTTGCATGGCCAGCAGACGTGCCTGTTCGGCATCCTCTGCCCTTTTCTTGGCTGCCGCGGTAGCGTCATCTGCCCGCTTCTTTGTCTCGGTACTCCAGGCTAACATGCGGGCCTGATAGGCCTCGTCTGTTTCCCCAGTCTTCTGGTCCATGACTGCTGTCTGTGAACGCAACAGCATAGACCAGACCAGTGCCTGCTCCTGTGGTATCCCTTGCTGCTGACGTGGCAATGCTGACGTGTCCTGCTGACGTGGTCTGCTGACGTGTCCTGCTGACGTGGTCTGCTGACGTGGCCTGCTGACGTGGCAACTTACCAATGCCGTCACAAGGGGTACCCGGAGACAACCAGAAACAACAAGGCGAGAGATGGCAACAACGTAGGTGGGGAGGGGTGGGTGGGATAATTGCCCAACTCACACTTAGATAAGGAGCCACTAATCAAACCAGAAAAGTTTGAACTTTGCAAAAAAAAATTTCGAGAAACTAAAAAAAGTAAAAATCCCGATTTTTGCTAGTTCGATAGGTCTCCCAATCTCCCTTGAAGTACGAAATGATCCCTGAAAGCCAAAAAAATTTCGGCTTTAGACTGCAACCGATTTATAGAACCAACTAACAGAATCCAAGAACTGCGAAAAAAGTCCGAACAGAAATGACAACTATTCGGATTTATTCCGATGGGAATATTCGAAGTTTGAAAAAAAAAAAATAATACGTGCAGGAGGTATTTCCCGTCCCGTTTAAAAAAAAAAACGAATTTCAGAAAAGAAGATATTCCGAAGTTCTAAGTACGGGAAAATGCAACAGAAAATCAAAATTTTCAAAAAGAAATATATTCCGGATTTTTAACAACGAAATTTCAAATTTTCAGAAAAACGAAAATAGGAATTTCAGATGTTGCGATGTAGCGATTTTCCACAGCAGAATAGCGAGCAAATAAAATCCGAGAAAAGAAAAAAATTTCGATTTTTTTTTTTTTTTGTAGTAAGGTCAAGATCGTGATTTTGGGGTCTAACTAGTATGTCCTAATCAACAGAAAAGACTAACTAGCTTTTTTATCCCCGCACACGTGTCAGATCAGATAGTCCTGATTCACGTGCAAAAGCTCCGATACCAACTGTTACATGCATAGATATGCAATGTACGTAAGAAACCGAGAATCTGCAATGCGATGAAAAGGACTGAATAGACAATGCGGTACGAGTAGAATCTCGACAAGCAATGCACATTCTCATTCATACATAAAGATGCTGAGAGCGCAGGGAAGACTTTGATACAAGACTGACCTGACATGACTGACCTCATTCACGTAGTTCAGAGTAACGAAGGAGAATGCTATAGTACCTCTAACTAGCCCAATCAATGTTTGAACTCAGACTAAACATGCCTTGTATCCATCACGAAGTGTGAAGGAGCCTGGCGCTACACACAGGAAGAAAGCGCTAGGTCCAGACATACATAGACGAAGAGATAAGGAACAGACGAAAGGAGGGAAGAAGATGGGAATGTCGTTAACACCAAGTCTTGGTCACCAATCCCAAATAGTCCCTCGTTGCCATGTTTGAACCCTCGAAAGTCGAGTCTGGATCCAATGTCACCAAGCTCTGTATCTCTTCTCTCATAGTCATCTCTTCTCTCATAGTCTGCAGATGCAGTGAAGTCAGAAGTGAGAGGGAGAGAAGAGATGGTGAACTGAGAAGAGGAAGAAGAAGAACTCTTTCTCTCTCTCTGTTACGAACCAAGTACTAACCTGTGATGTTGGTGCTGTGCTGCAGGTACCTCAAAGACGAAGCTGGAGCAACGGCGCTGCAGGTAGGTACCTCTAGCCTCCGCCCAAGCTCTCTCTCTCTCCCTCTAGTACTACCTAGCTATGGCGCCCAGCGCTGGAGACTACAGCTTCCAACTGCGCCCAGCGCTGAAGACTACTAGCTAACGCTACCACTACTACAACGCAGCGCTCCCTCCAGAGTGCTGCACCCGAATCTTGAAGACTACAACTACCAACTGCCTMCCTCGGAAGTGCCTGGGAAGTCCTATGTACTACCTCGGCCTGCCTCCTGACTACTGGAGGGCAGTCAGGCCGAGGAGGCAGCTCTTGCCAATGCCGAAATGTGCCAGGGGCTGGCATGTAGCAGCCTGCTTGAGGCTGGCGTGGGAAACAGACTAATAATAGCCTGTTTCTGAAACCCTGGTTCGGTGGCTGAGTTTCAGGGCTGGTCGTTCTGATGAACGACCGAAAATGGCCCTTCGTTTCAGGCTAAAAACGCTGTTGCCATTTTTAGTCTGAAACGACCAGGGATAGGCCCTGGACTTCAGGTTTTTTGGCCTGAACCGACAGGGGGCCTGTAAGCCCTGGATTTCAGGCTTTCAGCCTGAAATTCAGGCTTTCGGCCTGAAGTTCAGGCTTTTGGCCTGAACGCTGTCGGGCCTGCAAAATGGCCGTCGGGCCTGCAAAATGGCCCGTGTGTGCACCGCGCTGCATGTAACAGAGAGGCAGCAGCAGCAGCGAAGAGCACTAGCGGTTAATGGAAGGCAAAAAAATCGGGTTTTTTCGCCGCGTTGCTTCAAGCAATGTTATCGGAACATTTGCGAACAAACTTTGCAAGGTCATAATACAAACATCAAAAAACCAATCAGGCAAAAAAAAACCGAAAAAATCAAAATCAAGAGTACTATAAAACCCTTTTCGGAGTAGCTTTCGGAGTTCGCCAAAGCCTTTCTTGAGTCTGCTGTTTTTGCTAAGTTTTTTGTTACTGCTCCAAATACGGCAAAACCGAATACAGATATACCCTAAAGCACATATATAACAGGCAAAAAGAAAAACTGAGAAAAAAGTAAAAATTCAGGAAAACATGGCAGTTTCGGTGAAAAATTCGCCAAAATTCGCCGAATTTTGGGCATTCCATTAACCGCTTCTCGCGAAGAGCTAGGGCAGCAGAGGCCAGCAGGGCATTCACAAGTGAAGCCGCTGCTTCAGCAGCCATGGCAACACCTGCGCAGCAAAGTTCCCAAGCCAGCAATTCAGGAGCCGTAGGGTCAACGGTCGCGCAGACCCTGAGTCAGTCCACTGGCGTCATGGCTTCCGATGAGATCGCTATACAGCAGGCAACACTGCAGGAGGCACAACTACAGAAGGCTTTAGGAGAGATAAAGGCAAAGAAGGAAAGAATGATTAGAAGAAGAGCTAGGATGCAGCGGAGACAAGCGGACGTCAGTGAGTTAGAGGGAATGGACCTGACGCACATGGATGCAGATGTGAGGACGTTGCAGACAGCCCTGCTAGGTGTTGTAGAGATGCAGGACCACCACACGGCTCTCCTTCAGGACATCCAGCAGAGTCTGGTCTTGCTGGTCGAGCGAGCGCAGACAGCACCATCGTTGTCCGGGCCCGGTGCCTGGCCCGTTGTACAACCTCCTCCTTATGTCCCACCGGTGACTGGGGTATCCCCATATGTCTCCCCAACATCGGTCCAAGCTGTTTCACTAGGAATGTCGTTAGCGGGAGGGTTCTCATCAGGTCCTAGTGTACAGGTTCCTGTACAAACAGTGTTCTCCCAACCTTCGTCACAGGTTGCCGTAAGCGGGCAGCCTGCTGTCTCGCAGCCTGCACAGCCGCAAGGTACACAGCCCCAGCAGCAGGTGCAGCAGCCTGGTCCCCAAGGTCCACAGTCTGGAGTGGGACAGGTGCTGGGACAAAGTCAGTGGGTTCCAAAGACGGCCATCGCTGCTCCTAAACCCTTCACTGGGGACAAGAGGGGCGAAGACCTCGACACATGGTTGAGGTCAGTGCCAGTCTACGTCAAGTGTGAACTTACCTTGCCACACGAGGAAGTGTTTGTGGCTGCCTCCTATCTAGAGGGGAGTGTAGCAAGATGGTTGAGTGGTTGAGTGCAGTTACAGGGATACGGTCATGACTTTTGTGCTTGGGCGGTCACCCAGAAACTGGATGACTTCCTTAAGTTGGTGGAAGGCAGGTGGCATGATCCTCAGGAGGTCAGGAGGCTCAAAAGGCCACTGATGCGATCCTGACTTTGCACAATAGGCAGTTCAAATCAGTAAGAGAGGCCACAAATGCAGTAGAGCGGCTGATCTGTGTCCCTGGGATGCGCTATGACCCCCAGGTTCTACTCACCTCCTACCTGAGATGCTTTCCTATGCCTCTCAGGAATCAGTTGGCAGGTGAGGCCAACATCAACATGCACAACTTCCCCTCGTTTAGCAAGAAGGCCCTAGACCTAGAAGCAAAGCAAAGATAGGGCATGGTCAGACACCCACGAAGGATGGTAGGAAAAAGTCAGTGCCTCCCAACTAGAAGGCGAAGGGTTGCATTATGTTCGTCGACAACGATGGTTCTACCATCGAGTTGGATGATGACTTCCAAGCGGGAGTGGGTTCAGAGGCAGGCAACGTAGAGGCTTCAAGGGGTGGAGTAGTCGCTGCCGCAGTTCAGAAAGGTAAGGCGATCGGTAGACGTCATGGAGGTTCCCGGTCTAGGAGTAAAGTTGACCCCAACGCTCCTCCATGGGAGAAAACGGGTCTAGCAGAGGACGTGTGGAGAGATCGGTATACGCAGCATTCTTGTATCCGTTGTGGCCAATACGGCCATAACCAGTCCAAGTGTCGAAATAACAGGTGACCGAAAAGATCCCGCCTACGATGGGGCAGGTGTTGGGATCCTCCGCTTTCGTTGGTAGCAACGTAGCCAGCAGTTCTGGCAGAGCTCTGGGAAACACGTTGGGCCAGTAGGAATGGTAGCTGTTCCTGCTAGGGTCGAGGTGGTGGACACACCCTCA